GTAGGGAAAAAAAGTATAAGAAGAAAAATTGAAATATGCTTTAACGTATAGTTAAGGTTAAAATTAAGATTAAGATTCTGGAGAAGCTGATTGGATAGAGTTTTTATAAATAAGTTTATGCATACATGATTGTGAAAATGTATGTAGTTGATGTTTTGAATGTGTTTGGATAAACATCTGAAGCACTTATCGCACTTTGTCCTTAATAAACTTTAAGAAACAAGAAATAAAGTGAAAGCAGAAAATGTTTTTTCAAGCTAAACGATCCTTAGTTTGGAGACCTAATTAAAAGTTTCAAAGTATTTCAGGGGTCTACCGATTAATTTATTTTTCCTTTTCTATTTTCACTTTGTCCTACATAAACTTCAAGAAACAAAGTGAAAGCAGAAAATGTTTTTTCAAGCTAAACTACCCTTAGTTCTTTTATGAATTTAGATGAATATTTGCATATGTAATTGGGATGCAGTGATGACATAATTGTATAATCATTTAGGATTTTAGTGAGTAGGGGTAGGTGTGAAATTGCTTTGGTCATGAGATTGAAAGCCATTAGTTAATGTGTTTAATATATGCTTATTGGAAGATTGTTTATATGTTATGTAGTGTTTAGACGAGTGTTTCTGGCTGATCATTCAACTGATTTAGATATCTAGGTGACATTTTCATCAATGAATATGCTGAGCAGAGAGAATGGTTAGAGTGATTTCCTACTTCTTTTTTATATATAAAATAGAAAAGTACAGTTTCATACCCGGTGATAGTTCATTTGGTGCCACGTTGCAGCCCTATCCTGTGAATAACATTAGCGGCTGGGCCTTAAACTTGATGGAATGAATTTATCTGTTTTGCTCACCATGTCATCATCATCATCATTTTCTGGTAATAGATGTGGTAAAAGATGAGTTATTTGCTTATAATGACTGGTTATTATGTCACTTGAAATTTCACTATGCTTTAGACAGACAATTTTTTGAAAAAAGATTATAATAATGTATATTGTTTGTAAAAATAGTGCTTTATTTTAAACCCTACACCCTAATTATTAGTGTCCATGCCATTTTGATCAGGGTGTCCTTCCAAACCAATTAGATTTGTTTGTTGAACTTGAGATGCTATAATTAATTATTAAGTTTCTTTTTGTTAAGAAGTTAATAACTTATTACACAATAAGCTTATTTGTTTCACAAACTCTCTTTCCTTCTGCTTGGAATTTATGTTTAGCTTGTTGCTTCGCTCTGTATGTTCATTTATTTTATTTTTATAATTGCTGTTATAAGTTGTTTTATCAATCTTTTCTCCACAGGTGCCTAAGGGGCATGTTTGGATTCAAGGGGATAACATTTATGCTTCCCGTGATTCACGGCATTTTGGTCCTGTTCCATATGGTCTTATACAAGGAAAAGTGTTTTTCCGGGTAACTTTTGTGTCTCGTACATACTATATTCTAGTATATTTTAAGGATTGGTTCTTGTGGTCCAATATTTTTTTCCTCTGAAAATTTAAGAGTGAGATACGGTTGTAATAATGATGTTAATACAATGCTGCCAAGTTTTTTTTTCTTTCTCACAAGGGTACTTGAAAACATCCACTGATTTTATAGTTGCAAGTGTAATGTATAAGCTTATATTTTTTGCTGATATAGATATGATAACCTATAATAATTTGATTAATCATTGTAGTGAAAAGTGAAAACATTATTTGCTGTGTGGAACTAGGTCATTCTGATTAATTAGTTGAACCTTTTTATGCTTTGTTAAAAATATTTTACTTGATAGGAGAAAAATTCATGTTAACTAAACACTTGTTGGCAAGTACAAAATTGTTCTATTTGATTATTTTGAATCTTCTATTAAAGATATTTTTAATACTGTTTGTTATTAGGTGTGGCCACCCGATAGCTTTGGACTACTTGGTCAATGAAGAAATTTAAAGAAGGTACTGTACTTTCAGTTACGTTAGAGATGTCTGCTTTTGTCTTTTGTTCAAGGCATTTATTCCAGTCTTGAAATGAACATTATGACCTTTAATGTAGAGAAAGTAAAATATTTCATACGAATTTCTGCTCATTATCAGAGTTAAAATTACCATATTTTATGCTTATAAATGCAGATGTTGGAATGCTTAAATTCTACCTTTCTCCTCATGATATTGAAAAGCAGTTATAGCATGTAAATAAGATGTGTATTGGTGTGGGTTATGAGGGCTAACAATACTTAACCTTCTCTTGGGAAGAGAAGGTTTAGTTTACAAGCTAGATCCAACTGTGTACTTGCTGAGTAATTGGAATATGGAAATATCTTTTATTTAGGGAGGAAAAAGATTAATAAGTTGTGGTGGAGTTGCAAGGATTAATAGGACAGAGAATGATTGCTCGTCCTCAAAGAAATTGCAGTCAGATAAAAAAAAAAAATATTCTTAATTTGTGCTAGTTTTTATAGTGAGAAATCATCGAGTAAAGAAATAGTGATTGGCAGGGATCAAGACGAGGAATATGGATTGTGAACTTTCACTTGTGTGTGAGCCCACTGGTAATTGGACCTCACCTTGATGAGGTTGAGTGGGTTTGATGAATAATCAAGTATGTTAATGATTGTTTAATAATAAGTATGTATATTACTAAACATGAAATCTGATTATCAAATCACAGTTGATTGCAATTCAGTGGAATAGGGTTGTCAAATGTCAATAGATTTTGTACTTTTTAGGATACTTCAATTTGCTAAACCTGTTGTAAAGGTGTGATAATCATGCCACTTTTTAGATAACTTTTTTCTTATCTGCGTCCCATGCATAAAGAATTTGAATATCCTTCAATGGTAACGTGATCTTGGCACTAATATCATGTCCAAGTTCTAATTATTGTTTTCTTTAGTGGAAGTGTGGAACCTACACTGCATAATGCAATGATTCCCTTACATAAATGGGAATTGCTATAGTTTCCTGTGTTCTTATCTACTTATGTGTTAGAACTTGGAAATTGACATCTTTCATTTGCAAATTTATTGAACAGTGGGTGTGGTCAGTCATCATGTGAAATGAACCTAATTATACTTGCTTGGAGCTTCAATGATTTACATGAATGTGGCTGTTTGCAAGAGAAAAAACTGAGGAGCTTGCTCCCTTTTGGCAAGATCAGGCACATGTTTTGGAGTCTGTTTGAGTACTGTGTAGTGTGTGTATTGCCGGTGAAAGTATTAGAATGCAAACTAAAATGCAGAACAATTGGTTAGGAATCGTGCATTTTACTCACCATTTTCTTTTTAAATTATATGCTGGGTAGGCTTTCTTTATTTTTCCTTTACCCAATGCCAATTTTTATACCCTGAACATAATAGACTTGAGATTCAAAGTATTCAACTGTTTTGCCTTTCATTATGATTATTTCATTTGTTATGTTTTGATTGAACATTTATTTTTATGCCTTGAAATTATTTTGTAGTTTCCCAAAATAAACTCGGGTTATGAGGTTTCTCAAGAAACACACTCTATGCTCCTCATTAAGGGGGTGACGAGGTGGTCTTGGATGTAGAGGAGGAGAATCTAACTCTCAATTCTTTGTCATACAAGTTGTTATAGATTATGGATACTACAATAGACTTGGATTAGTTGATCATCTAAACTGACTTGTTCATTTTTTTTTTGTTGTTTTGTATAATATCAGACACAGAATTACATTTGTTTTTTCATTTGGAAATTCTTATTTCAAATATGGTTTTTTGTTTCTACACACAATGAACATCACTTTCTTAGACAATTGTAATTTTTTGGCCATGGGCCATTGCAGTAGAGGCCAATCTTTTTTGGGTTTTCAGTGAAATCATGGTAGGGCCATACAGTGTTGGGAAATATATGATTAGAATACATGCTACTCACTACTTCTCATCAAAAGCAAACGAGAGATTATTTCAAATACAGAAAACATTTATTTATTTGACTGCCAAATACAGGAAACATAATAAAATATAAAGGAACCAATTTAAAAAAATCAGTTTAGCCTTAGAGTATTATTTTATTTATGATAGTATTAAATTAAAATACTATAAAATACAATTGTCTTGATTTTTTAATTATATATATATTTTAAATAGTATTTGATAGTCAGTATATTATTTTGTTGGTAATATATTTAAATATCTCATTTTTAATGCTAATTAAATCATCCCTTCTTATATTAAAAATCATTATATTTTGATGTCAATGTCATAGGATTGCGTTTTTTTAATTATTAATTCAATTTAAATTTAAATTTTGATATATTATACTAATTTAAAATATTTTTTAGATTAATCAAATTTAAAATTATTCTTTTTACTTAATCATAATTTAAAATATAAATTTATTTTTTTACACAAATTAATATGTTTTGAAATGCACAATTTAAATGCACAATTTAAAAACCACTAAAGTTAATAAAGTAGTAAAAAAGTTAGATAATATATACAAAGTCTTAAATTCAAATGTTGTTATTATTATTATTATTGTACTTTTACTACCTATAAGTTTAAAATTAATGATCTATTTAGTTTGTTTTTTTTATTTATAAAAACTAAATAAAATGAACCAAAAAGATAAAATAGGCTAATTTAACTTAGTCTGCCATGCCACTCAACCAAGCTGGGTCAGGAAATTGGCAGCCCGTAAAGAATTTAGCCCAACTCAGCCAACTTATATGTGTTGGGCTCCGGGTTCGGCCCGACCCATTTCACATGCGTAGTTCTTGCCAACTATATTAAACAAACAATTGAGAGACTTTCGTAACCTAGAAAGGAGAAAGAAACCCTGCATTTGAGTTGAGGGTAAAATGGACATTTCGAAACGACTCATTTTGTGTCTATAAATAGTGCGGAACTCGCAGCTAGGTATTCAAGTGCCTTTGAGAGAACAGGGCGCAGCATAATTGCAATGGCGTCCTCGTTCCGTTGCAGGCATATAGAAAACCCTAGATTCGTCTCTCTTTCGCCTCTGCATTTTAATTTATGATTCTGCGGAAGCATGAGAACGATTCGCACATAGCTTTTGAACTTTCATTCATAGGCACACAGTTTTCTTTTCTATTTCTTTTTTTGAAAAAGTGTTTTGGGCCGATCCAATGGGGTCTCAGCGAATGGTGTTTTAGATCTCAATTTCACCCGGCCAACATCTGATTTCTTTAGGGGCAGCCTCAAGGATTTTGCATGTTTACCTCTCGTGTTTTAATTCAGGGATACTGCCCTAAATTTCATTTCTCTATATTTTTTATTTTGTTTTTAAAATTTTTTTCATTATGATGAATTCTGGGTGAAATGCTACATGTAACATAGGTCAAATTAATTTTTTTTAATAATTGTGAACTAGGTTGTGATTTTGTCATATTTTTTCGTATTGCAGATAATTTCTATAGATGTTGTAGCATATCTGGTTGCCAAGTGCAAGGGTTTACTCACTGTGACTGCATTTCCCTGTAGGGA